GGCTCTTCAAAATACCGGAGCTGCCTTCAGGCTATTCGATGTATAGCTGCCGAGGAAGGCTTTGCGGCATTTTGGAAGGGTCATGTATCCTCCCAACTTTTAGCTGTCAGCTTTGCCGGGACACAGTTTGCCGCATTTGAGATATATACTTACTGGTGGTCTACGTTGTTGTCGCATAACGCCAACCAACAGTCCTCCCCACTTTCTCCGTTACCCAACTTTCTTTGCGGCTGTCTTGCGGGTATAACGGGGGCGACCGTCACTCAACCCCTTGACGTCCTTAAAACACGATTCATAGCCCAAGGTGAACCGAGGACATATAAGTAAGCTTTCTTGATTCGATTCTAACCATCATTTACCAGTGCGCAAACGCAATTTTTCCTTGAAATTTTTCCTTGCAACAACATGAGTGCGGGTCCACAATGATAGTCCTTATCACATCCTGAGCGAAGTGACTACCCCTTTGCCAACTTCCTAGATATTTACGTAGATACAGCTGAGCATGTCGAATTAAAAATGGGGTTGCATGAATCTTATTTCAAATGTGAGAAGTGAAAAGCTAAGTCCTGAATTTCGAGCATAATAAACAAAAATCTAGAAAGAAAGACACCTTATAGACTATGCACACTTTTAAGACTCTTCGTTTTGTTGGCTGTGTTTCTTGATTTCTCAAATTTTGACAGACCCGGGGAACTTCCTCCTCAAACGCAGATGGTAAGACCAAATTGCATGTCTGCCAATGGGAGATATAAATTCCGTCCATTGCCCATTCTATAGAGTACAACACTTTTCGTAAAATTGATACAAAAAGGGAAGGCCCACTAAATCGGTCAGTACATATACAACAACCCAAGCTGTAGCTTCACGGGTGCGAGTTGCAGCCGCCTCTGCTCCGATTTTGTACCGGTACCCTCGAATAATCTGCGCCTGCGATTGATCCAAACCATTTCTCAGGTTACTTTTGCTCTATTTTAGCAATAAATAAGACACACGATAACCATCATCTAGCTTGCCTGACGTAAATGTTTAACGTTGTTAAGGTCCAAGAAAGAAAATTACTTCAATGGCCCATGTATCCGATATTAGGTCTATCTTCTCACATTAAAACAAGCACATTTAGTAACCTGGCTGCTCCTTAAATGTCTGTTATCATGATTTGTAATATTCAGGAACCTCAACGATGCCGTTGTGTCCATAATGCGAAAAGACGGTATCCCGGGATTTTTCCGAGGCCTGACTCCATCTCTTCTCCTCATTGCCCCTCAGACGGGCCTTCAGTTTGCCGTGTACAAACTGATCAATAGAGTCGTTGATGTCTTTACAAAATCTGCCACGGAATCTCCCGACCATTCCACACCTTTACGGTCGAAACCACTTAGTGAGTATTACTTGTTATTACTTCCTATTTGATTTGTG